AAATAAAATGCCAAAGATGCCACAGATTGTGTCACTACCTGTAACATTGCACCTTGGGAACACTCACATAGAAGGTGGCCTACATTAGAAGTGATCATTGAACTGCAAATAAACCGAATAAGCCCTTATGATATTTTAATGTTGTCACATGTTCTTGTACCTTGACAAGTACCTTTTATACAAACATTTATATTCTGTTGAGAAATCGAGTAATGTTTGACCCAAATCTGATCTAATGTTGGAAAGTGTGTGGTCAGAATTTTTACATACTCTGTGATAATAGTATTAGTATTTAGGCTAAAGTATTAGTATGTAAAACTATTTCAATAAGCTACTCAGGTCTGAATAATATGTGGACCCCAGGGAAAAAAACATATCCTTAAGACAGTAAGATTGTCACTTGATCCAGATTTGCAAAAACAGAAAAAAAGTAAAATCTAAGAAGATATTCTGGGAGAAATATTACATTAAGAAGAAATTACATCAAAAGCATACAATACAATACACATAACACGATGACTTGTTTGTTTATTATCGTATTGTTGATCTATTCATACACAAAGCAGAAAATACAATATTATGTTGGACACACCTACGCAATGAGATCAAAAGGTGTGACTGTAATGTAACATCTAAAGCCACAAGAGGGCAGCAACACATCACACAGTGTCTGATATAAACAGGAAAAGGACATTCTGCCTGTAGCAAATCATGTTTAAATTGTGTGCGAGAAAATATATGTAAAATATACTGGATGCAAGATTAAATATAAAAGCACATGCAGAAGCAAAAACTGATTCAGGCTTCATTAGGACAGTATAACGAGATTGGCTTAGTTTGTGTTTTACGCAGATATTTTGAATGTAAAGCATTTTGCATTGTTCAGGGAAGGCGTGGATCAGTAAAACCAGACATTATTGCATAGGTCAGGTTTTTCTGCAGTGAAGAATTACAACTGCAAATGCAAGGAGTTATGGACTGCAGCCTTCATTTTTCAGAGAGTAAGGTGGTGGGTGGAAAGCGAGGGGTGCATGATCAATGAACGCCACCGTGCCTAGAATTGAAAATGCTAGAAAATGTGTTTACAGCATTTTCACAGCCAGATTGAGAATTCAGTTGTGATGTTGCCCTAGGTTGCCACAGACTAGACAGATAACCTAAATTTTACATAGGCTAATGCTCCCCCCTGTTTATGATATTCCTTAATTGTAGCAATGACCTCCAACTTGCAGTGACCATGAACCTCAAAACTAATAATCAATTTAACCAAGATAGGCGATCATATCTGCATAAAAGCATTCATCTGGTCTACGGATTGCGCTCCATAACAATACAGCTTAACATCTTTCACCATGTAGACCTCATTCCACCATCTCTAAATGTATCTCTCTAAAATTGATATTAAATATTTATATCACTCCAGCTTTAAGTGGGCTTCCCCTCTTCAAGGATTCATCTTTGGCCGCCCCCTCAGAGGTAAGCTCTCCATTTGGCGATGCGGAAGGGAGATTCCTCAGCTCTTCCAGTCATACACCCCCTCCACTGTATGATGTTACCGTTACGCACCACTATAATAAGAGGAGACGTGATTCTCCGGGGCGAATCCCTGCCGACGTCACTCCCAGTCTCATATAAATAGACTGAGCACCGACTCTGGTCAGACAAATCAAGCAAAACGGCTTTTTCGGGCTACAACAACTCTTCAAACCAAGGATTATTGGATTGCCTTCGTTGGATTTAATTCCCAGCACCGAGTAAGTGTCTTTAATAATGATGATACATTTTTAAAATGTAGTTTTATTCTGTGTTTTTATGTTGAGTAGAGTTGGATAAACATGTGGTCTGGACATTTCAGAAACCCTAATAGATGTTTTAATTTTACAACACGACTTACAATTATGTTAAAATGTGGCTTTATTCTCCAGTGCATCCCTGTACAGACTTCTACATGTTCCTTTTATGCCTCTTTAAATGTGATTGGACGTAAGAGCACCAATTTACGCGTGTCACATCTATCTCCAGATCATCGGTACAAACACAATGACTCTCAACAAGGGTGACAAATTGCGGAACATGGACAAGAGAAGAGGAAGCATGCCGTTCCCCATGAATCTACCAAACCTACACCGGAGAAGCATGCCCGTGGACGACCGGGACCTGCGCGCCACGATGCCACAGACTGGGCAGACCGACGAGCTGTCCAACCTCCTGCGCTGCACTTCCTACTCCCCGACCGAGCAGCACCGAGGCAGCTGCGCGTCGGACTCCTCCGACTCCGTGATCTCCACCGGCAGCGAAGCGGAGTCCCAGGTGTACAAGGTGGTTCTCCTCGGGGAGAACGGCGTCGGCAAGTCCAGCCTGGCGCGCGTCTTTGGAGGAGTTGAGGATGCTGGTCACGATTGCGATGAAGCAGGTAAATGGTGATGCTGAGGATGAGTCATCAACCTATAGCAACCCACACATACACTTGAGATTTCCATTGTCTATGAGGGTGCATGTGATAATTGGGACTGTCAGAGGTTAATACTGAACATTACACAATGCAATTATATTACCAACTTATGCTTGAATATACAAGGTTCAATTAATAAAATGCAGAGAGATATAAAGCATTAACAAACAGGAGGCTGCTTTCTACTTTTTGAATAATCCTACCCTTTAAAAAGAAACAACCCTCTAACATGAAAACACATTTAAAAATAATGAAGAAGTGGATTATTTTATAAGCTCTCAAATTCAGATTTATGTTTATCTATGACGACAGTGATAAAGTTTGGCTGATGGATTAGGAAAACAACAGTGTTCTTATTTCTGCACACAGGAGTGTACATGCATTGATTATTGCTATTTCCATCAACAATGAGGCACCAGCCCTGCCCTCAGTTGTACAGCTGTCAGAAACACATCCAATAGCATAATGTGAAGGGAAAATATAAAAGGCCAGCGCTGGCTTGATCACAGGCTGTGATCAACTTTCTGCTTCAATGTGCAGACTACAGAAGAAAAAAAGAAGAGCAACAACACGACTGTTCAGATAAGATATGCTTTGCTCCTCTCTGTCAGCGTGTAACATAATATTTCTTTTTTTTTTCTAGGAAACACTTATGACAGATCTATCGTGGTGGATGAAGAAGAGGCATCAATTGTGTTGTATGACATCTGGGAGCAGGTGAGTTATATATTATTTATGTTTGTCCATCGACATTGATTCATGGATATTACATTAGTAAAAGATGGAATCAGCCATGTATGATGCTAATCTCACTCTGTTTCTTTCCTGAAGGATAACAGCCAGTGGCTGAAGGAACAGTGCATGAGGATGGGAGACGCCTACATCATCGTGTATTCAGTGACAGACAAATCAAGCTTTGAGAAGGCGTCAGAGCTGCGTATTCAGCTGCGCCGGGCCAGGCAGTCAGAGAACATTCCCATCATCCTCGTGGGCAACAAGAGTGACCTGGTGCGGTCCAGAGAGGTGTCTGTAGATGGTAAGTCAGTATGATTAGCTAACATTTGAAACTAAAATGTGCCACAAGCTTAGGGGGAAGTGGGTTGTGAAATTTGGTTACTTTATAAAAATATAATATTTATCATTTGAAGCTTAAAAGCTATTCTTGAAGCTATTTGTGATCAAATCTGACAGAACTGGCTGGGCTTGACTGGCTTTTGTAGGGTCAGGTCACATTTCTCACTTGACTGCTCAGGTTCAATCTAGGCCTACTTTCAAATACCACTGCAAACTACAGCTACGTGCCACAGTTCTAAAACTACTATCACTTAGTGCTAATTTATGCTATCTAGGGATACCATTTAAAATCTACCCCTACCTTATTGTGTTCTTAATGTACTATCTATTCAAAGTACTAATTCTTCTTTCTCCTCATGTTCCTTTATTGCAGAGGGAAGTGCCTGTGCAGTGGTATTCGACTGCAAATTCATTGAGACATCTGCCTCCCTTCACCACAATGTGCAGGACCTATTTGAGGGCATAGTCAGACAGATCCGCTTGAGGAAAGACAGCAAGGAGGAGAATGCACGGCGCATGGCCAACTGCAGGCGTAGGGAGAGCATCGGCAAGAAGGCTAAACGGTTTCTTGGTCGCATGGTTGCACGCAAGAACAAGAAGATGGCTTTTAGGCAGAAGTCAAAGTCCTGCCATGACCTAACAGTTCTCTGAGGAACAGATGGGACAGACAGACATTTTTTCTTTGGCCTCTGAAGACCAGACGCTGTGTGTGTTTTAACACTAACCCTAAAGGACTAATAGAGCTGTACAGAAATATATTTTTATTTTCTAGACACCAACCAAAAGCAAAGAAAGGACTTAATTAATTAAAATGATATCATTATCATGATAATTGTGATAACCTGCATGAAGCTTTTAATTTTTTTCTGTTTGCCTTAAACATGTTCATAATGTGATCAGTATGTATGAAAAATCCACATGAGTTGCAAAGATTGCCTTGCTGTTGGGTTATTGTTGTGCTACTTTCCTGGAGGAGATTGATGTATATATTATAACATGAATGATGCTGAATGTGACATACATCTCATTATCCTAAAAGACACGGTACAGGATCACAATATAAGGTCATCTGGAGTTATACTTACTTGAAACGTGGTACGCAGGTTCGTGCCTCTGCCAAGTTACTGAGGATAAATCAAAGATAATAGAGAACTTCTGCTATTCTATATTGTTCCATAACACTGAATTCAGGTTGTGAATGTATGAGTAAAGCAATAAGTTATATTATTCTTGTGAATCGTGACATAATTTTGAAATTCTTTGTTTACGTTGATTTCATTTTTCAATAAAATATAAAATCAAATCAATCAAATATTCTCTGTCTTTTTTCCTTAAGTTTTTAACAGAATGCAGCAGAAAAGAAGGAGATGTTGTTCAGACGATTTACATCCTCATGAATATTCATTCGATTGTATCAGTTAAATGGAACCTCACTGGCCATTGGTTTTCACAGGAAGGAAACAAGGTAGTTAAGCATGTTTTTCTGAACGTGTTAACCATTAATCCACCAAAGGAGTACAAGTACGCAATTTTTCCACCCAATTTAAACTCCTCTCACAGCTCTCAGAAGGAGCACACACATCATTTGGAGAAGGTAAGATACAAAACAGTTAGTTAAAATGGTTTTGCTACTTAAATCCTGGTACTATTTTGCCATCTTTGATCAATGCCATCATCTACTGTTGTTGAGCAACAGTATACCCATAATGTGTTGTACTTTAGAGGCTTGGATTGTAGTTAATGGAGTATAAAGAGTATACTGTTACTTGTACACTGCGCCATAGCATGGGATTTTTGTGATTTGGTATTGGTAAAAAAGCAGATGTATACTTAAAAGCTATTTAACAGACATTAAGGCTCCAGTAAAATTACACAATCTTTGCATCTAACTTGATTTTAATAGACAAAAGCGTTACGCCTGACTACAGTGGGGGCTCAGATGTTGCTTTAAACAGCTTTGTAAGTGGTTATGCATTGATAAGCAGACTGTCGGACACGTAAGAACTGTGAAATATGAGTGTATGAAAGAATTCTATGTTAGTGAATCAGTTACAAGACAGAAATTGTGTTGATTGTTGGGCTGAGGCCATGTGGTTTGAAATGCTGTGAATATGCCACATTTACAGGGACACATGGCTGACACAGGAACTAAACCAATGCTCATCATAGCTCTCACAGTAAGATGTTTTTTATTAGTCTTAAACCGTCAGACTTTGTTCATGTAAGAGAGCAAACTGCCTCAACAGTGTCACTAAATGTCTTTGCAGTTGGTGATACTTCACACATTTGGACCATGCTCTGGGGCAAATGTTAAAATTGGTGTCCCTGAAAACTATGATGGTATTTTCCCATGGTATCTTGCCAAGGTAAGGCTTTTCAACTTACTTCAATTCACCAAACAAGTGTTCTTCTTGCTCTCACAGCCTTTTGATAATCTTTCCTTCAAGATTGAAATGGTGAAAAGACCATGATTGCTCTGTGAAACATGAAGGTAGATAGTAAGCCATACTTTCACCAGTCTCTTCTCTCTCTCCCATCTTCACTTAAGGTTGAAGATGTATGAACACGCTGCCGTCATCACTAGACTATAATTAGAGTGCTCACAATGCTTTTCATGCATCAGGACCAGCCTCTGCATTCAGTCCAGCTGGGTAGCAGGCAGGGTGTTTTGTTCATACATGTCATTCAGACATCCTCTGGATTGTGCTACAGCATGAGCATCTGGCACTTTAATTGGTTGCATTGTGACGTCAGCACATCTTGTATGACACATATTTTCAGTCTTTGTGCCAAAATTGGTTCCATTAACACTTTTCAAATAGCAGGTTAATGGCCAGAATGGAGGAGTTGGATAATAACCCTACTTTCTGTTATAAATGGAAAGGACATAATAATTGCTCCAGATTTGTTCAAGGTAAAAGTGCTTCATTATGGTCTGTTCAGGAGAGAGGGCTGCACTTGTCAGTTATTCTATCACCTTACTGTGAATACTGTGAATGGCCAGCCCAGACACACCACTGGCTCTAAATGGAATCATTTTGGATCCTAAGATATTTTTGCTTTAAAGCTCCAGTGGGTTACATTTAGGAGGGTCTATTGGCAGAGATGTAATATGATATTCATAGTTATGTTTCTATTGGAGTATAATTACCTGAAAATGAGAATCATTTTGTTTCATAACCTCAGAATGACCGTTTTTATCAACAGAGGGAGCGGGCCCTCTTTTATACAGCCCGCCATGTTGAACCGCCATGTTTCTATAGTGGCCCAGAACAGACAAACACTGGCTGTAGTTAGGGCCTTTCATGGCCATCATAGTTTTTCCTACTAGCTTCGAAAGTGAGCAGTATTCAGTTGCAACTTCACTGCTAGACACACTATTCTTTTCAAAGAACCTTTATTTAGGGATTAAAAACATCTGAACCTTGCGTCTACTTTTCTAGGCTGAGCCTTTCTGAAAAGTAATATAGAATTGTAGGATTGTTATAACTCTAATTTTGTCATCAGGTAAGTTGTGTGGTAGGATGCTGGCAAACTTTTAAGATCCCCTCCTGACATGTATTATGATATATATAAATCATTTGCCTGGAACTGTGTGTCTGATTTCTTCTCCAAAAAGTACCATACCCACATTACAGTCCATTCTCTGTGTATGTGCACTGGCTGCATCAGGTTTCAACATCACACTTGTATGAGTTGTAAATTGGACTGGTATTGACTTCTGAACTATTTATCAAGTCAGAAATCCTGCCCCCTTAAAATCAGATTTTCAAGAGCACAGAGAAACGTTCCACTTTCAGCAGATGAATGTAAAACATCC